AAGTTGGTAATGGATTCGACCATGCTTACAGTGAAGGGTGCTTGAGGACCATAGGTTGTTACAGCCTCTTTTAGCTGCTTCACTGTTTTGAAATCTAAAGCATGGTGAATTCGCTGCCCTCATGCCTGCTCAAATACAGGGCATGTTAATATTTGAGGTCCTGAATCAGGATCCCATCTATCAACTACGGGGGGTTGGGAGCCTCCCAGCATATGGAGGTGGCGCTGTTGGTTGGACACTTACACCCTCTGGTGATAGAAAGGTGTTAGTAGCAGTCTCCTGTTGTAACTTTTCCCCTGATGGCTTTTTCTGCTCTAAACTGTGAGCCAATCATCAGCTGGCAGCTGGAAGTTTGCTGGGGCTCCTTCAGCTATGGCTCTCAACAGAAGGCAGCACTCTGTAACAGAGCTGGTTAAAAATGGCAAGCAGTTTCATAAGGTAGTAGGTAATCTCTGCAAGTACTCTAGTGGAGGCTGGATGATCATTATTTAGGATATCTGATGCTTTTATATCTTGCTGTTATTGATGGGTTTCTGTTTAAATAAGATGATAATCATTGATACCCACTAAAAATAGGGACAAAGTAAGGATAGTCATTATCACTGCCACTATTTAATGTCCTTTAGATCTAGCTGTGCAGTAAACCAGATAATAAATTGGAAAATTGAAGGGAATAAATACGAGAAAGGAAGAAACCAGACTGCTGTTATTAACAAATATTTGTATGTTTAGAAAGTTCTAGAGAGACAAGTGAAAAACTATTAGAAATAATTTTAGTTTGTCAAGAATCAATATAAAGGTAGGCCTGGTAGCGCATGCCTATTATCCCAGTACTTTAGGAAACTGAGGCAGGAGGATCACAAGTTCAAAGTCAGCCTCAACAACTTAACGAGAACCTAAGCAACTTAGGGAGACCCTGTCTCAAAATAAAAATAAAACACTAGGGATATTGCTCAGTGGTTAAGCATGCTGGGTTCAATCCCTGGTACCAAAAAAAGAAGAAGAAAAAAAAGGAACCAACACAAAAAATCAATAGCTTCCTTTTTAGTCAGCAATAACCAATTAGAAAATGTAATGAAAAAAGAACACATTCATAATAGCCCAACAAAATCTATAAAATCCTGGAATAACATAATATGAAATGTGCAAGTCTTATGTGATTTTTAAAATTATTCTAAAGGGCATTAAAAAAAGACTGAAATAAAGATGTGATATTCCTGGATAGGAAACTTTAATATTGTAAAATGTAAATTCTTCCCACTTAAATTTATATATCCAAAATGATTTCAATAAAAATCCATCATAATTTTTATAGAATTGACATGATTAAAGTTCATCTAGAAGAGAAACTGAATAAAAATATCCAAGAAAATGCTGTGAGCATAACATATCACAGAGTGCTATGAGTATATAGAAATAGAAATACAATTTGTAAAGTAGAATAAACAGCCCAAAAATATGGGTATGTGAGAAAGATGGCAATTCAAGTCAAAAGGAAAGGATAGACCAATAATGGTTTTGGAGAAACTAGATAGATTTGTAGGAAGAAAAAAAGTTAAATCTCTCCCTTATACCACATACTCTAAATTCCAAATGGAAAATCTAAATACTAAAAACAGCTTAAAGTATAAGAAGAAAATATTGGGAGATATTTTAATAAAATTCAGAGTAAGGGAGGCCTTCCTAAGCAAGACACAAAGCTCAGAAATCATGAAAGATTAACAGATCAGATACTTATAAATTTTAATTTATGCATGGCAAAAAATACCATAAACATATATAAAAATCAAGTAGCAGATTGGTAGAAAATATTCATCACATAATTAAAAAGGTTTTAATATTCGTCCTGTATAAATATTTCTTTCTCTTTTTTGTACTGAGGATTGAACTCAGGGGCATTCAACCACTGAGTCACACCCCCAGCCCTATTTTGTATTTTATTTAGAGATAGGGTCTCATTGAGTTGCTTGGTGCCTCGCTTTTGCTGAGGCTGGCTTTGAACTCGCAATCCTCCTGCCTTAGCTCTGGAGCTGCTGGGATTCCAGCTGTATAAATATTTCTACAAATAAAAAAATGAATAGAAAAATAAGACTGTGAATAGGAAATTTAAGGATGAAATGTAAATAATGGCCAATAAGCTTATGAAAAGATATTCTCTCAGGAAAATAAGTTATCTTTCGCCTTTTGGATTAGCAGAAATTTAAAATTTATTGATTATATTAGGGTGGGTTATATCAATGAAACAGCACGCATGTCTTTCTCTATAGAACATAGGCTGACAGGAATGGGGTTGATTTGTTTTTCACTCACTCCACTCAAAATAAGGCTGGAATAATAGTCTCTATCATCATCTTATACTGGTTAGCCCTTTCAAGGTCAATTCAAATGCTCTCTTCTCTGGAATTATCTTTCCTTCCACTGTTCCTTCACAGAATTATCATGCTGCTATTATATCAAGTCATTATTATATCATGCCTTTATCTAATCTGTCATGCCTCTGTTATGTATTAATATCTACCTTATATGATTATGTTAACTGATTAAAGACTGAAAGTTCTTAGTCTTTATCTTTTTCTTCTCTGCATTCTTGATATAGCATTCACAAAGGGGAGAAGTTTTTTTAACACATTCATTGATTAACTCACTACAATGTCCCTATCCTGGAGGTATTCATGGGCATGTAAAGGAGAAAAAAACTATGAATGGACAATCACAGTTCAAAGATACTGTGAAGAGAGGAAGCTGGCATGAGACACTTGTATGAACATCGGGGTAGGGGAATGATTTAACTCCATGGTTCTGTGTCATAACCAATATTATACTCTGGCTGTATTGAATTCCATCTAGTTCAGCCTCTCCATTCCCATCCCAAACCATTTTCCATTCCTGGCTTTGCTCATGCTGTCTTCATGCTTTCATTGCTCTTGATTTTTCTTCACTTGTCTGACTCAGCTATAAATGTATCTCATGTATATGATGCTGAGGATGGAACCCAGTGCCCCACACATGTGAGGCAAGCGCTCTGCCACTGAATCACAATCCCAGCCCCATCATCATGTATCATTTCACTAGGTAACTTTCCCTGCCCTCTTTCTTCCTCTCTCTCCCAGGCTAAGTTAAGTACTTCCTCAACACTTTCACTAAACTCAGTGCATAGCTTAGTCTTAGGACTTACCATGTCATAATGAACTTATCTGTGTTATGTGTCTTTTCAGTAAGACTTAACTTGTGTAGGAAAGGACCAAATCTTATTCATCTTTAGTCACCTTTCCTCCCCTTAATCACAATTTGGCATATAGTAGCTCCTTCATAAATGTTTGTTGAAAACCAGAAAGAAAGCAAAACAGTATGACCTATTCAAGAGATGGCAAATATCCCTACTCATTTGTTCAACATATATTTAATTTAATTTTCTATCATGTGCCAGACTTTGCTAGGAGCTAGGGAGAGTAGTAAGCAAGAGAGACACCAGCCTTGTCCTCAAGGAGCATTCAGTTGGGTTTCATGTGGTGGGAGTGGAGAGTATGAATGAGAGGGGGTGGGACATGCAAAACTGGATCATCACTTAGGGCCAGGTCCTAAAGAGCCTTATGTGCCACGAGGTGACAGGAAGTCTGCTGGGGCAGAATGAGACAACGAGGCAAGTCAGTGTGACATGTTATCCTCCCTCTAATGCCTTTCCCCAAGAGCTGGGCAGGGTCTCTCTTTTCTCTCCAGTGACAAGGGGCCACACTCACCTATGGGCGCAATAATCCCAATGACAGCAGCAGTAACTGTTGAACCCATCTTGCCGCCTTCATTCCCATCTGCAAAATACAAACATTGGCAGAATAATACTCCATTAGAGTGAGTCCAAGCCTTTACTGGCCTCAAGCAGTAAGAACTACACAACCGCTTCTCATCCTCACTTTAAATGATGATTGGCTAATGCTTAATAGTACAGTATTCCTAAATGCTATCCAACTCCTGTGAGGCAAACAGGACAGAAGGTGTTATCTCCATTTCACAGAGGGAGAAATTATATCTTAACAGATAAGTGGCTGGGACTTGAACTCAGAACTGGTGACTCAAGCCCCACACCCTTCGGATAGCATCACAGGCTGGGGAGTATGTAAGGCAGGGTGAGCACTTAGATTTTTATGTTGCTGAATGACTGGATCAGTTGCATTTTTCAGCCACTGTTTATTGCATTGTCTATGGTACTGATGGTCTGTCTGTCCATCTGTATTAATAGTTTATTTTTCTTAAGTAATTAATGGGGCATAATAATGTAATGGAATCAAGAGCCCAGGCTCCTGCATCAGAATTTGGGGCTCATGTCCTATTTTACTACTCATTACTTATGTGACCTTGAGCAAGTTTATATAAATATAAATACAGATATAGATGTATATGTATCTATCTATCTATATAAATGAAAATACACACTATCATGTTATATTTCTTTATCTTTAAAAATGGAGATAACATTATTATTTTCTTCTTAGGGAAATGTAAGGATTAAATGAGATAATTCATATAAAATATTAGCACAGTGCCTGATACAGCCTTGCCTGGTTCAAAGAGGGCAATGCATGGGGTATGGGTTGTTGTGAGATCTACATCTAAAAATATAGGCAAAAACACATTCTAAACTGGAAAATACTTGGAAAATGACCTGTATTTTCTAAAAAGTATGTTGTGTCATCCCTTCTCACTCTCACAAATATCTTCATTATAGTACATTTACAGTACTTTGTAGCTTAAAAGCGTTTTTCCTTTGGATCCTCTTAACAGCCTTATGAGGCATGAAGAGAAGCTGTTATCCACATTTGCTCCGAGTGAGGAGATGACTGTTCTCTGGCAATGGCCTGTCCTTTCAGTGTATCTGTTTTTCTCATTCACCTCAAGTCAATCTAACTATTGAAGGGAGAAGAGGGCTTGCATTGCTTACAAAACTAACTGTGGAAGTGCTGCCATCCTCTCACTCTGGGGCCACAGCAAACACTGAGAGTGAAATTAAACCTACTGCTTGACAACGCCCATGGGGAGGTCAGAGGCTCTGACCCCAGATGAGAGGAACTGGAATTGATGTGTTCCACTTGCCTCTCCAAACTTCAGGTGAGTTCTCAACTCTAAAAATTCAGCTTCTGCTGGCAAAACGGGCCTAATCAGAAAGGTGTCACCAGGCTGCTTGGTTTCTGGGCCATCCATGAATAGAAAAAAATGTTAAAACATAGTTTATCCTTTTATATGAACTCCCCCTGGCAGGTAACTCAATTAAAAAGGTATTTGCTCATTAATGAGATAAAATAGTTCTAGCAGTGACACTGTTCCCAGTGATTTAATAAGTGGTGAACTTAATTATTTTCAGCCCAGAGTATGGGAACAGGAATGAGTAGACCATAGCTAAGGATGTTAACATTTGGGCAGCTCAATGAGGATGCTGGGAACTGAGATCAGAGCTTTCCAACCCTGAAGGACACCTTTCCTACACATGTCAATAACTCATAAAGCTCAAATGTACATCCAGGCAGCAGAGGCTATTTATGTGCTTCCATTTATACTGCCTCTTTTGTCTCTTTTGGCAAACTTGGGAAGCAGGCAGGGAGTGTGTTGTTATTATTTTCTCTTTGTAGGGAAAGAAAATGAGGCTGAGAGATAGGCTATAGCTTCCCTACAGATCCCCTATAAGTTAGGGGCATCTCCTAAATCACAGTTGGCATTCTCTTTCCCTCTGCTTCTTCCTCAGAGGTATGCAGCATTCAGCTCTGGTCTAATCTCTCTTCCCACACATTCCCATCCTGCTTCCACAGGACCCTCCCATGTCATGAAAGAATACAGAGCTCATTTCCTTACAATGCTGAGAGTGGTTGCTGGTTGCAGGGCTTGGGGTAGATGGGCTGATGCTGGGAGCCCTGGGAACACTAACTGAGCTTGGGACGGCAGCTGCCAGGCTTGGTGTGTCTGTGCTGTGATTCTGGTAAGTGGGGCTGTGGATGGTGGTCCCAGGTGCTCTTGTGATGGCAGCTACTGTTCTCGTCGTAGTAGAGGCTAACGTCGTAGTTGAGGTAGATTGAGGTGCTGGAGGGAAAAGACCATGGAAGTCACTTGGACAGAGCATTTTGTTGCTTTAGTGCCTTGGTTATTGTCTTGATGAATTACACGTAGAAACTTATTCTCATGGCTTAGTTCAAATGCCACTCTGGTGAGACCCTGCCTCATCCCTCTGACTAGGCCACAATCTTCTCTTGAGCCAAGTCCTAAGCACTTTACTTTGATTCAAAAGATGAGTCATTAAACCATGCTATAGAATTAAGTGTGGGAAAGACCACTGTAAAAGACTAGAGGGAAGGGAAATCATAAATCTAGAAGCATTTTACTATGGTATTATAATATCATTAGGTTTAAATTCTTATTCCACTTTGAACAATGGAACCTGGAAATCATATATGGTATAGGAAACCTGTGCTCATATAAAAGCTCTTGGCTTTACATCAAAATTGGGAAATAAACATAATTTATGTGGTTCAAGTATTATATGATGATTAGTCCTAGTCACATCACAAAAGGGCTTCTAATGTAGTTCTAGGTAAGAAATAGGCAAACACATAACCATCTGTATATAAATAGTAACTAAAGCCATGGAGATAAAGGATTCTTAACTTGAGGTTTTCAGGGAGTTCCAGAAACCACCTACAAATTGAATTTAAAATATTTTGTGGCCAGGTATGATGTAATTCCAACTACTTGGAAGGCTGTGGCAGGAGGATCATAAGTTCAAGGCCAGTCTCATCAACTTATTGAGACCCTATCTCAAAATAAAAATAAAATGTCTAAGAATGTAGCTCAGTGGTAGAGTTCTTGCCTAGCATGTGTGAGGCCTTGGGCTCAATACCAATACCACCACCACCACCACCACACACACACACACACACACACACACACACACACACATACTCTAACAACTGAGTTTTACATTATTATTATTATTATTATTATTATTATTATTAATGTATATGTGCATTTTTTCTTGGGAGAAGAGAAAACCTTGACAGGCCTCTGGGGACATGCACATTCAAGGAAGGTGGAAAAAAAGAGTGTGCAAAGGCAACAAGTAGCCAAAAAAGATGGAGGAAAACTAGGAGCATACTATGTCCCAGAAGTCAAGGGGGAGATTTCTGCCAAAGGCCACCCCTCCTGGAAGCTCTGCTTACCTCGATAACACCTCTTCATGTCTGGGCCCAGCCACATGGTGTCAGGACAGGCACATGTGTACTTGGGAGAATGGCTGGAGATTTGAGGAGCAGGAAGGCACAGGTACTCACAGCCTCCATTAGGCTGGGCACTCAGCTCACAGGCATCTGCAGCTAATGGCAGAGAGAGAGAGAATTAGGGCACAAATAGGACATGCTATCTTCCCACCTCCCATTGATGAGGCTCCTCCCACTTGGCTTGCTCAAAAAGCTTTCCCTACTTATTTGCCCCCATCCAAGGTCTTGCACATGCTAGGTAAGCACTCTACCAACTGAGCTACATCCCTAGCACCCCCTACAATTATATTGAGCACCTTCCAATACTATACCTCGTGCTTTATTTCTATTCTCATTTGATTCTTACAATTCTGAGAGATGGGTGTTATGTTAGATTCCAAAAACTCATGACCCCACCCCCATACCCCATAACATAACATCTCTTAAATTTCTAGATCTAGAATCAGGCACCAATCCTATCTCCTTACCCTCCTTTGCTTCCCCTGGCAGCCAACACTTCAGTTACAGTTAGAATTAGTACATCCTAGTAATAGGGAACAAGACAACCTAGAGGAATGATCCTGGATTCTATATCCAGCCAACAGCTGACTTACTTACTACTGCAAAATGGGTACAAATAGCAAATAAGAAGTAATGTGTCATAGCAGAAGAAACTCTGGAATCAGATCTGAATTTATATTTTAGTTTTACTACATGCTAACATTAATTTATCTCTCTAAACCTCAGTTTCCTCAGCTGTTAAAGGAGAAGAACAATATGTACCCTTTGTAGGGTCAGAAAAAATAAGAAATTTATATATTTATTTATACCCAGCCTTATTTCGTAAAAAGCTTGAGGCAAAATAAGACAAAATATGTGATGATAAAGCACTCTATCAACAAGAGACAGTTGTTATGCTGAACCGTGATATAAATGTGAACATGGTCTGTTTCATGGCAGGAGAGGACCAGGGGACCAAGGACCAGAGACCAGGGAAGGCTCACCTCTTGGCTGCTTCAGTTCATGGAAGATGACAATATCATGTGGGTTGTTGAGGTTCTCAGCCAGGATGGAGATTTCTAGGCCATTGAGCCGATTTGCACTGAAAATGGCTTCGTTCTCCAGGTCTGTCCAGAATACCTTGTCCTGTAAAGGCACAGATATGGAGGGTAGGAGGCCTAGAGTCTAAGCTCATGAACTCAGTCTGAGGGCTTGGACCCAAATTATAGTCATAAGAATTGCCCTGATATTTCCCCTGAGCTATCCTATCCACAGATTCTCAGAGGACTGAGAATTAGCCTATGATCTATGATGTCAATATTCCTGGTTCCCTATTCTCTTTGAGGATTACTTGGTGATTCTGTTCTTTGACCTGAAGGCCACAAACTAACTCACTAATGCTAAGCTGGGCCTGATTCCTGGGCCAGTAGAAACCCAAGGTTAGATCTCTATAGTTATTACTATCACTGGAGTCAGGGACCAAGACTGCAAAGGATACATGAGCTACTGAGTACTATCTGCTGCTGGGCTTCCTACAGCCTCTGATACACATCTAATACACATAAGTCCATGTGGTTAGTTCATTCAAGCCTACATGTGCATCTGCAGGCAATCCACAGTTACTGTGGTATAATCATGCATCCTTATCCACAGATCCAGACTCATACCTAAATGTTCCCCTATACACATAAAGGCATACTTGTACCTAAATAAACTTGTCTAAATACTGGTGGACATATTTACATCAATAATATGATACAAGCACCAGTGCATACAGGAATGGATATTTTTACTCTGATGTACTATACATATACATGCACATACACATACTTTACACAAAACACAAATATGCTCGAGCACACATATATGTGTCCAAACACATCTGCCTTTTGAAGCAGGGGCTGAACTTAGAGATGGAGCTTTGCCTACAATTCCAGAGCAATGCTGAGTGAAGCTGCTCCAAGAAAATATTATCAAAGCCCACCATAGACTACTGTCTCCTCATTTTTTGTTAGCAGAGTTAGTCTCAGGGAAGAGACTGATGTGTAAGATCTTGGTAGATTCTGTCTTCCTTGTTCCCCAGGAGGAAAGATTGTTGGGATCAGGGCAGAGAAGGGCCCTGACTCCTCACCTTCTGGGGAGCTTCTTGAGGACTGGGATAGTGTCTGATTTATTTCTATGACCCCAAGTTCTGGTAAAGGTCAATAGAAGTATGTTGAATTACATGGCATCTCTCAGGCCATTTCCTACAGAAAATGACTCTAAGGAAACATATATTCATTCCATCTTCCCTTCCTCCCTTTTTTGGGTGCTGGATGCTGAGGTTGGAAGCATCCATATCTAGCAGTCACCTATAAGAAGTGCTCTGAGAGAGGCTTCTAGGAAGAGAGCACAGGAAAGACTACCTGGCCCTTGTATTCAGGCAGCTCTCAATTTGTGTACAAACATGTCAGCTGGCTTCCCTGTTCCTTTGTTTCCATTTGGACAAGTCTCAGGGAGGCATCCTATTTGAACAGCCTTCTCTAGGCTTCAGCTTCTTGGCAGGGTCATGCCTCCCTTCACAGGACTCACCTCAAACACAGCTATCCCAAAGGGGTGGCTTAGGAAGTCAGGAGAGAAAATCAGCATTTTTCTGTTGCTTCCGCTGAAGTCAATGCTGGATAGCTGGTGCAGCTTGGAGTCCACCCAGTACAATCGCTGGTTCAGTAGATCTTGGGGAGGAAGAAGGGGAGGAGGGATCAGGGTTAAGATCTTTGTACCTCCCTACTGCCTACATTCTCAGGCCTCAGACTGCACCCAGCCTAGGGCAACAACCATCAGGGAATGAAGCCACTGGCACCATGAGGAGGACTTAGAAACAAGAGCCATGGAGTTCCAGACAGTCATCAGGAAAATAGGGCTTACCTAGGGTGATTCCGTTGGGCCATTCAATATTGTCTGATACCAGTGTTTGCCGGTCCACACCATTGAGCCCAGACTTCTCAATCTTGGCCTGGTACCCCCAGTCAGACCAATACATGAACCTGAAATATAAAAGAACTCAATTTGGCTTCTTGTTAGGGATATGATTGGGGTGGGCTGATTCATTAAGGCTCAATGACCCACGGACTAATTAAGGATTATACATTGTAGGAACTAGGAATACCTCTGAAATCCTTTGGAATCATCAAAGCATAGAATTAGCGGACACTTTAGCCTTCATCTAAGAACCTGGAGAAGCCTAGACTCCCTGATTCTACACAGTCTCAGCTGAATAGTCTATGAGCCCACCTTTCCCATTTCTCGAAACTCTAATCAGAGCCTTAGCGTGTCAGTGTGGGAAGGGTTCTGCAAACTTTCTCTTTCTTGTTTCAGAAAGGAGAAAGTGGATGACCTTCTCAATTGGGTAGCCCTCCCTGCTCCTGAATCCTCAGGCAGACTAGGATTGGTAGCAGCTGACCATTGTTTTTCCAAGATAGTGCATTAGACCTCACTCCTTTGTAAATAGTTCCTTTATTAAACCCTATTCCAATATCTTACTTTGAGTATGCAGTGCATTTCCTGCTAGGACCCTGACAGAGCCATAATGGAATAGGGCAAGTTTAGGGGACAGGATGTGGCAGGTGCTGCACCAGGTCTGCATGAGAACATGCAGTGAACAGGACTGAGGTGAGGGTTAATGAGGCCGCTGAGTGTCTTAGAGTACCCTTGAGTGTCTTAGAGTACCGTGCTGGGAGCACCTGACTCATGCTCAGTAAATGGCAGCTAATACTTCCCAAGGCCTCACAAACATGCTCATGTGGCCTGACTTGAAGAAGAGTATTTTCTCATTTTTTTAACAACTAAAGAAACAGCAGAGGAAGACGCTAGCAAGGCTTCACATGATACTTCTATTTAAAAGGTCCTATTCTGTTCAGTTCCTAACTTGTAAAACAGATACGGGCAGAGCAAGGCAGCCTAGTTGATGAGGAGTTCAGAGACTGGGCAGCTGAGGTGGGAATGGAGGTGGGTAGCCAAGAACAGAGCAGACCTAGTGACTTGGTCCTCAAATCTTGCTAGCTGTCCTGCAGACATGTTTCATTTAACTACTGAGGCCAATGGAGGAAGTTATACAGAGACAGATTTGGGATTATGAGGGAAAAAACTGACTTTCCAGTGGGCAGAGCTGACCCACAATAAAATAGGTCCTATGGGAAGTAATGATCTCCTGCCCCTAGAAGTGTTTGAGCAGCTGCCAGATGTCCATCGGCAGCAGGCTGAGGAAAGGCCTCTGCCCAGGAGCTTCTACCAGGCCATCTCCAGAACCTTGCTGTGCTCCGAGACATGCTAATTCTGTAACACAGTGGAGTGGGGAGTTGGGGGAGAACCCTGGCAAATAATGTCCAAAGAACCCCTGGTCTGGGATTAATAGAATAAAGGCTATGCATGGACTTTCTTCCCCATGGCCTGTGTCTGAGCCACCCAGAATCTTCTAGGCAGCCCTTGTGACAGACATGTGAGGACTGAGCACCTACAGTCGTGGAATGGGACGTTTTAGGTGGGGACACTCACCCTCGCAAAGGGTCGACAGCAATGGCCCGGGGTTCACTGAGGTCACGGCTGAAGAGAGTGCATCTGCGGCCACCATCAACTGTGGCCACTGAGATGGTCTTATTGCCTGAGTCTGTCCAATAGATGTGTTTGTGGACCCAGTCCACTGCCAGGCCTTCTGGAGAGTGTAGCTGCTCATCAATGAGGACCTCCTGCTCTGCTGGGTCACTGGCCTTGTCCATGTAGGCACTTAGGAGAAACCAGAGCTGGTGTGAGCAGATATTCCACTTATGGGCCCATCTGGAGCTGCCTGTGCACCCTTTTTCTTCCCTTAGGATCATGACAGTGATTTTAGAAGAATTTGGCTAATTTACATTCAAAATGTTCCCTGAGCCACCAGAATAGTTATAAAGGCATGAATCAGCACAGTCTCTAGTCTGGTGAGCTCAATTTAGTGGGGGACTGAAGCTTGTGGCTAGGTACAATGACCATGCCCTCTCTCTGGTTCCACAGTGTCTACTGCCATCCATAATCCTGCTTGTCCAATCCCCAACAATTCTGGCTGTTCTTGGATGTCCTATGGACACCCTGAATTCAACATGTCCAAACCTGTTCATCCTCATTTCCAATCCTTTAGTCACACAGACTGTCTAAACCCAACCCCAGATCCTCCTCCAATTATTCTCAGCTTAAAGAGCAGCATCAAAACCCCCAAGCCAGACACCTGAGACTCCCCAATTTAATTTTGATTCTTTCTCCTTTAGCCTCACATCCAGTCTCTTCATCAAATCCTCCTCTTCCAGTCGCAAATGTTGGTCATGCCCTGCTATAGCTTTATTTCTACATGTATGGATGTAAACACAAGCATGTCTGTGTGCTGGGGGGAGGTAGGAATCTAGTAGTCAGAGAAGAGCACTTGGGATACTTGCTTCCACCCATCCATCTACCCATCTATCCTATCATTCTTGCAACAGTGATTCAGGGTCAACCTAGTATCTAGTCATCAACAGTCTTGCCAAGTGGATCTCAGAACAAAAAAGACATGACTTCCTAAGGAGGCTTGGACATACAGGGAGCAAATTAGCGCATCTGAAACCTAGAGTAAACCACCTTGAGTATGCAAGGGCCTCCTGAGTGCTGTCCACTGCTGTGGTCACAGTCAGAGTGCTGGGGGTACTGCCATCCAGGAAGATTTCTCAGTTCCCAGATTGGGTAGAGGTTTCCTCTGTACTTTCCCTGCTTGATCGCCATAATGGATGTCACTGTATATGGGATTCTCCAGGCAGGAACCAGGTCTGAGTCATATTTGAGTCTCTGGAGTCTGACACACAGGTATGTGAGCTGCTGTGAAAGTCTTCAACAGAGCCAAGGATTTCTTTTTGCCCTAGTTAAATAGCTCCTGCCTTGAACTTCTCACTAGAGGTCAGACAAAACCCAGGCACATGGGCTGAAGACTGCTCTCCCACCAGTGCTCCCAACCTAAGCGCCCCAGGGGGTGAATGAAATTCTGGTGCTGCCACAGTCACTGTGATCCTCTTTCTATTCCCAAATGCAACTCTCCTTAGAAACCCTAGAGGCAGAGGCTACTCTTCCCCTTCTCCTCTGTCAGCTGCTCTTTACCCTTTTCCCTCCAAGCCTGGAGGGTGCATGAGACATGCCACTCACCTATAGATCTTGCGGTAGGAGAGGTCACACCAGTAGATGCGATTGGTTGCAACTTCCACATCTAGTGCCACAACATTCTTGAGCATGGGGATGAGTCGAGAGTAGTCCCGCTTCACCAGGTCTATCTTCCGCACCTCATGCCGGTTGGTAAAGATTAGGGACGGGCTCTTGCCAGCTGCCATGCAGGGAAGTGAGAGAGGCTCAATGTAAGAGACAGGAAGGGAGTTTGGAGAATAAGTCTCTGTCACTAGATTGCTGGGTAAAGGCTCATTTTCTTGTAAAATAGGGGTGATAATCCCTACTCCACAAGTATAGAGGAGCAGATGAAGTGAGTATAAAAAGCACAAGATGCAAAGTATCACATATGAAAGGAGTTCTTTCTTTTCATTAAATATAACCCCCCCAAATCTTTTACAACTCCCCATTTCCTCCTTCAGCCTGCACCCAGGCCTTCTGAAGTATCCAGACTCATCAATCATCCCCCAACACTCCTTGATTCCAGCTACAGGCTGACTGTCATAACCTAGCCAGGGCAGGGCTGTGCTGCCTTGGACCTGTGCTGCCTTGGACCTGTGCTCATATTCTCCTCTCCACCTAAAATGCATTTCTTCCCAGCAACTTTCACCCTTCTTTGCCTGAGACCCCATAGTTCAAGAAGGGGCCATCTAATTAAGGAAGTGCCTTAGAAGTATGGTGCAGAATGGAGGACAGAAATCAGATCCTTGGGGAGGCTGCTGTGAGTTTTTCATGTTGTGAGTCTTTAGTTTATACAGAGTGTGTCTGGGAACATGACAAGAGATGAAGCTGCAGAGACAGACAAGCCACATGACAAAGGTTCCTGTGAGCTGGGTGAAGTTTGCTTTATCAGTGGCAGAGTGGGACATGTGTGATATCTAACACACATTATATACATGCAGCGGACATAATACACAACTGCCCATGTATACACAAAACCCATTTTTAGAGTTAGGGTTAGATTTTAGGAAGATCATCACTGAACTAGACATTCCTGGCTACTCCTAATGGACAGACTCTCCCAGGCAGTTTTCATATGTACCCGGCTACTCTTGAGCACCAACACTGTCTGAGCGGCAGCTCCAAGAAATACCTGTCCCTGGAGCTGCCTGTGTCTTCTCCTTCTCATATTTTCCAGTTGACACTTTTGCCAGCCACCTGGTCACTGAAACTGTGCATCTGAGCCAGGCTAATGTGTTCCCTGGGGGCAGGGTGGGACCAGCACAAAGCATGTAAGGTCTAGGGCTGGGTGTATGACCTGTGTATAGTGATGAAGACTTTTACAAAGAGGGTCAGGGAAAGAGGGAGGCTATGATACAAATAAAGAGCCCATAAAATAGGGCTTTAAGTGCAGGCAGGGGCAAGGAGGAAAGCTAGGCTCTAAGACCAGCTCTGCCACTGACAAACTGATTTTCCTCCCCAACTTGACCTCTCTGAAATTAGGAGCTGGGTTAGAGGGCATCTCAAGTTGTTTTTAATGAAGAATTATGACAGTAAGAGAGATAGTGTGTTTATGACTTGCATTTCTATGTAAATGTACTTTAGATATCCTTACATATATACATTGAATTTTATATATACATGAATAGTTGTTTATTGTCCCTACTATAGATAATGTGTCACATGTCCTATGTGGAGGTTAAAAACAGACTATGTGGTACACATGATGTGGGTGTTACATAGTGTATAGTGTAGGTGTATATTTTTTGGATTTATGGGCTACATATTAAGCATCATGGCTGTTGTGTTGTTTTAATCTCTATGTTATATGATGTATTTAAGTATATGAACTCCAGACTAATGCTTCCAACTGTCTACTCATAGCCCTACTTGGACATTTAAATGGTTTCTTATACTCATCAAGTCCAAAACAGGCTAACATTCCTCCAAAACTGATTCTCTCACCATCTTTCCCAAGTCCAAAAATAGTGATTCTATTTTTTTAGTTGCCTGGCCCAAAACTTTGGAGTCATCTTTCACTCCTTTTTCTCTCACTTCCCACATTCAATTTATAAGCAAATCCTGTTGGCTGGCCTTCAAAATATAACCACAGTCTGTTCACTTCTCAATAATCCCCCTGCAACCCCCCTGTCCCACGCCACATCACCCCTCTCTCTTTACTGAGATAACCTCTCCAGCGGTTTCCATTTCCTTGTTTGCCCTCTGCAGTCTGTTCTCCACACTGCAGCCAGACAGTCTGAATGGCACACTGCATTCTCCCTCTACTCAAAACCCTTCTGTCAGGAAATGCAGTCAGCCCCTAATAATAGTCTAGAGGGCTTTTGGGGATCTGTCCTGAGTCACTTCACTAACTTCATCTCTTTCTAGTTTCCTCATTCAACTACCCCGCCTTCCTCACTCTTCCTTCAACATGTCAGGCATGTTCCTGCCTTAGGGCTTTTGCATTTTTAATTTCTTCAGCCTGAAATGTATTTTTGCAGGTAAGAGGTAGCTCACTCCTTCACTTCCCTTAGGTCTTTATTCAAATGTCACCTTCTTAATGAGGGCTCCCTTGATCATTCTATTTAAAACTAAAACCCACTACCCTCTAGACTTCCCCATCCCCATTTCCTACTTTATACTTCTCTTTAGCCCCTATCACCATCTGCTAGACTATATTTTATCCTGATTTCTTGTCTGTCTTACCCATTAGAATGTAAGTATACATGGGAAGATGAGGATTTGTGTACTGCTGAATCCCCAGTTCAATATAAAGAATTGAATAAGGTGAATTAATTCAGTTGGCTAAATGATCAATGTATAGGACTACACGTCACGGTTTTTGTGTGGGCTGCTCATGCTCTGCATGTGGTCCCAGGGTGTCTATATATTGTGTTGTGCAAGTATAGTCTCTGGGGGCCATATTGGGAGCTATTTGTAGTGTCCATATGGGTTACTGTATATTATACTGTGTATGTGATCTATTTCTACACTTTGAGCACAGTATGTGCAACCTGCCTTCTATATGTGGGTGCACGTGACTAAAACCACTCTCACATATGTGAAGGCTTGCTGTTTCATGTAGCCCCATAGAGCAGTGGATAGCCTTGGGATGTCCATACCCACAGCCTTGCAGTTCTTGGTCAATGTGTCCATCTCATAGCCAGGGTGACACTCGCACTTAAAGTATCCCTTGTAATTCACACAGATCTGGCTGCAGGCATCTGGGTCCTCACACTCGTCAATGTCTGTGGGGAGGAGCAGAGGTCAGAACTGGTAGGAGGATCTGCCTCTCCTTGGGCAGATAGGAGGAGATCTCACCGCCACAGGTCTTCTGGTCCAGAAGCCGGAAGCCCGCTGGACAGGTACACTCAAAGCCAATCTTGAGGTCAGTGCAGATGTGGGAACAGCCTCCATTGTTTTGCAGACACTCGTTCAGCCCTAGGGAGGGATGTAGGCTCCTGAGAGTCCAAGAGCCCAGAAGGGATGGGAGCAAGGCAGGGGTGGGGGGCAGAGCCTCAGTGCAGCAGAACTCCCACAGAGCCAAGTGGGCTGGAGACCTCGCTGAGCCTCAGCCCTCATTAACCAAGAGAGAACAGATTCAGAGAGGGCAGGTCCTTGGCCTTCCAGGCCAGGGGTCTGTCCACCTCCAGGCTGAAGGCAGTAGGCTTTCTCTGGTGGTCTGAGGTCTTTACTTTCACAATCATGTTTCCTATGATCCCTCTTTCCTCACCACCTCTAAGATGAAGGGGCCTGCATGTGTAACATCCAACCTTGGGATACCCCAAGAGTGCCTTCTGAAATGCCCCCGCTCACACATCTCCAGCTTAGGGAGCCCACTTCCCTCCCGGGGAATAGCAATGCTCCTTATGAAGTTCTTCCTCATAGGATAGGCCTCCTCCAACTTGGCCCCCACTCCTAGTTCTGCTATATGGGCTTGGCCAGGGTGCAGGGGCTCCCTCAGAACTTCCTTAAAGTGCTTATTTCTGGCTCCCTGCCATTTAGTTGCCTTTCTCTGGACATACTCCATCTGTTCACACCCCTCTCTGGGTAGGGGACAGAATCAGGAGTCTGAACAACATCCTTGCCCCTTACCAGGCTTGAGGCTACCTAAGACTCCTAGGTCAGGCCTTTTCCTACACAGACCTGTGGCTGAGTCAGTTCTCTCCTATATGAACCAATACAATGGACTTTTTTCCAACTCATCCACTCTCAGCACCTGTCCCTGTTCCTCCACCTAGTCAAAGGCCTGGTCCCAATATTACCAACTGCTTCAAGGGATGAAGGGATGCCAGGAGGTCATCTGGGTCTGCTTTCCCCATCCTCCACTCCCTCACCAACTTCTGGAAGGTCCTAGGGGAGGTCAGGGAGTCCAGGACCAAGGCTCACCAAGTTCTCACAGCATCTTCTGAGCTTTAGAATCACAGAAGGTTAATTATATAAGCCAAGGAAAGGTGCCACACCACCCCCTTTGCCCACCAGGCTCATGCACTGCCACTTCAGCCAAGTCAAGCAGAGCTGAGCTGAGCCAGCCATGGCCATGCATACAGCTGGTCTGAGCTGCCCACCCCAGGCCATGCACAGCTGTGGGGTCCCCCACCTCCAGCCTGAGCCATGCTTAAGGAATGTCCCCTTTACCCCTGGGCCTCCTCCTGTTTCCCTGGAATGTTGGTGCAACTGAAAGAACAAGACCATAGCAACCCCATGACTCATGGATCCAGGGGTGGCTCAGCCAGGTTCAGCCCTGGGAAACCTCAGACACCTGAGGATGGACTGAGCCATGGTAGCTTTGGAGTAGTTGGGGCAGGGGTGGGGGTGGGGTCACCTTCAGGACTCATTCTATCACCCCAAATCTTTCCTGACCTTTCTGGTACCATATTATTCCCTGAGCGCCATCCATTCATTTCTTTCATTCACCTGCTACCTCATTCATGCATCCACTCGCTTCCTTCCTCTCCTTTCACAGGTAGCTGCATCTCTATGATTCTATTTACTGAGCATTTGATGGAGTGGCATGTAGGCTGGCTCTGAAAGGGGAAAGCTCACAGTGACTCTGGCTTCTAATGAAAGAAACAGAGTTCTCCAGGACTGATCTGGGTTGGGGGAAGAAAATGGATAGCAGGTCTGGATCTAAGTGTCACTGTCAACCTTTCCTTAGAAGGCCTGTTCCTCCCTAATTCTGCTAGCCTGGAGGTGATTCTACTGGGGAGTGGGAGAGGAAGGAAGGGGGTAGAATGGTCCAGAGGCCTGAATAGCATTTGAAACTTCCATGGGAGGAAGCAGTGATGTCACTTTCCCCAGCACGTGCACACACTTGCATGCACACATCTGCATGCTCACACCTGCATGCACACACACACCAGCTTATGTACAGTGGCACACACAGACACACAGACTCCATCAACACATTCACACAGAAATCAGTACACACAGAGAGATGTGTGAATGTAATTTTCCTGCCTTACTCAGATAAGATATGGATACAGACACTGGCCTCTCACCAGCCAGCACAGAGACAGGAAGAACACGCACAGATACAGACACATGCATACATACTTCTCTTTGGCGTGCCATGCAAAAGATGAGAAGAATTTAGCAGGTTAGTAGTCCCTGGCTACTGAAGATCTGGGTGTGGGGGGGAGATAGGCTCAGTTGCTCCTGCTTCCCTGTTCCCCTTTCCACAGGCTCCTTCTTTGGGGCCTTTTCTTGGCAAGGCCTGTGGGCGGTGGGTGGGAGGGTGATAATATCTCCCACAGATGAAGTCACTCAGCTACTCTTCCTTTCGCATTGTTTTTGTTTTACATTGTCTTGTTTTTTTTTTAATCCTCAAAAGGAGAGTAAAGACCCTGTTCCTGGGGAGCTCCAGAGAATGAAGTTCCTCTCAGTACCCAAGAGAGGAGGTACAGGAAACAGTCTGCCAGGAGGAAGGACAGGGAGGGGCTGACCTAGACTGTCCTCTCAGAGACTTTTCTGTCAAAGTCTCCTTAGGGCCTTGACCTGGGATCAGCAGAGAAATGATGCCTGCACCTCTCTGGGACCACACTGGTTTCCTGGCATGTCTTCTGGGATGCTAGCCCACCTTCAATGCAGAGCTTCTGTTCTCTCTAGACTGGAACCCATCCTGTGGCTCCCATCCTGTAGCTCCAGCCATCAGGACAGCCACCTCATTCCAGTTCTAGCTCTAATCCAGCCCATAAATCTGGTCTCTGCTGCCTGGTCTGGCCTGAGCAGTGGCCCTAGGATGTGCCTCAATTGACTGCCTGGCTGCTATTCTCCATGTCTCCCCTACAGAATCCCCTTCAGGGGCCAGAAGCCTTGAGGCCAGGGCTTTAGCTAGATCAGCAGGGCAGGAACACCGAGGAAGAAAGTTGTAGAGCACACACTCAAGAGTCTGAACACGAAAAGAATAAGGAGAAGAGGTGAAGTTTGTGAGAAACAACATACTTTTGGGGCATCTGGGCTGGAAAGGAAAGGCCTTTAGAACTTTGTAGAGATGTAGAATAAGAGGCTCCAAGGGCAAAGAACCTCATATAAGACAACAGGACAGCACACATGTCCAGAGAGAGGGTCAGAGCAGAGGAGCATGTGAGGGCCTTGAAGTTGGACACCAGGATGGGGCATGGCAGGAGGGTTAGTCCAGCCGTTGGATGTAGACAGGTACCATACCACACTCTTTCAGAAGCTCATCCGACCAGTCCCGGCAGTCCCTCTGAGCATCACACACTTTCCCGCTGTCCACGCACTCGCCACTCTTACACTGAAATTTGTAGGGACCCTCACAGGTTGACTCTGTTGGGCCAGACAAGAGAGTGGACAGTGTCTGTGAGACCTTGAGCAGGTAGGTCAGGGCTGGATTGGGCCAGGAACCACAAAAGATAAGCAGAGTTCCAGCCCTGGCCCCCACCAGTCTAGAGGGTAGCTCAGGACAAAGAGCCAAATTCGGGGCTGGGGAAGCACGGCTCACAGACAGGATCCCAGGAACAATCACAGATACATGCTTTGACTTGCTGGGGAGAGCCATGGGGGTCTGTGTCTGATCTGGCAGCTCTATACATAACAGCTCTATAGAGACATCAGAGGCTGGACTGACCATCTCCTGAGGGGGGACCTTTGCTCCATGGACTCTGAATAGGAAAGGCTACTTAACTGCCCAATCTGTTATGCATTCCCCTGGATGACTAGCGAGTTAAGGTCTCTGCTCCTTAGAGGGGCAGGTGACAACCAGAAGAGTCCTCTCAAAATCAAGGGAGCTCCCTGAGGAGCAGGATTCAGTGTCTGTTCAATATACTAATGAGGAAAGTCACTTGGAAGCTTAGTTGCAGGGGGTTGGGGGACAGGGGGACTTCCTTAAGTGCCCTTTCATCTCTCCTTAGGTTGCTTTTTGCAAAGTTATTTTTAAAAAATCCAGTTCTGGTGCCATTAGGACTTCATAGGAGGGGAGTCATATAATTTAGGGGCAGTGATGCTCTGGGGAGAAATACATGCCAGGGACCAATGGGGGATCTTTTCCAACTCTGCTTTTTCCAGATCACGGCTTCTTCTCAGGGAGGATGCTGCCCCATTGCCTGTGTGAACGCACCCTGTAAGCAGCCAGCTTCATCACTCCCATCTGGACAGTCTTGTTCCTGGTTGCAGCGTTTGATTGCAAGGACACAAGTCCCATCCCCACACTGGAACTCGTCCCCACGGCAGGTCCCCAGCACTGCTGGAAGAGGGCAAGAGGAGATGTTCGGGGTCAGTGTGGTTCTAGGTCAACTCTCCCCCCAAACCCCATACCATATCTACCCCTGGCAAGAACAAAACCAGTGGCTAAGCTTAGGAGTCCTCAAAGGACACCTGGCCAAGGCATCTCCAGTGTACAGATGGGGAGACTGAAGCTCAGAGAGGGGGAAGGCTTTGCTCAGGGTAACAGCACTCTGGCTGGCAGAACCACAAGTAAAATTCAGGTCTCCTGTCAGTGATCACCTAGGGCCACTCCTCCAGAACAGACATTTGGCCTTCCATTGAGTCTTAGTGCTCATGACTTAATGACTTTATCCATTTAGCAAGCCCTGCCTGACCCAGGTGCTGTGCTGGGGATGGGGACCCCATAGACTTGCAAAAGAATCTCCCCATCCTCTAAGAACTCAGGGTGCAGAGAAGGGCTGAGGAGTACGTGAAAGAGGGCATGACAGTGTAAGATGAGGACAGTAGGGACCTGGGGTGGCCCAGTGGAAGGACCCAGCCCAGCTGGGAGAGTCAGATTGTAGAAAAGGCTGGTGAGGAGTTCCTGAGTGCACAAGGTCACTGTTTAGAGGCACTAGTATGTGACTGACTGGATGGGGACAGGGCAGTGGGAGGGAAGAATGAAGGAGAAGGGGAGATTGGGGCAGATACAGGTACCATTGAAGATGCTTGGCTTCTGGGGTCAGACCTGAGCCCCACTGCTTAGTAGCCATGTGACCTCAAGCAAGTCACTTTATTCTCCCAACCTAAGTCCCTAGTAAAGCAAGGCAATGTATTCAGGGTAAAGCAAGGAAAGGAAGCCTGCATCTGGCCTACTGGCAGCCGGATCTGCAGGCCCTCGGCAGGGCTGGATGATGTGGAGGGGGCTTACGGCAGTCGGCCTCGTCTGACTTGTCCTTGCAGTCGTGGTCCCCGTCACAGCGCCAGCCCAGGTGTATGCACTCGCCGCTGCGGCAGGCAAACTGGGAGGTGGGGGAGCAGGCTGCCGGCGCGGACGTGGTCCCCAGGCCTGCTCGACCACAGAGCTCGGCTGCCTCATCTGAGTGGTCCTCACAGTCGAACTGGCGGTCGCAGACCCAACGCTCAGGGATGCAGGCGCCACCAACACCGCCACAACGGAACTCACGGGGCCCACAGGCAGGGTCCGCGCAGCCGCGCTCATCGCTACCATCACCACAGTCGTCATCGCCGTCGCACACGAACACCGCGGCCAGGCATGAGCGGTTGCTGCACTGGAACTCGTGTGGGGCGCACACTGCGCAGGACAGAGAGGCGGTCGGCCGCCGGCCCCCATCCCCGCCCACCCGGCCCTGCTACGGAGGCTCTTTCACCTACAGGAGGGAATGAGTCCTGCTGAAGGCCTGAATGGGGGACGTGAAGCCAGGCACAGCAAAGTGGAGCTTCCAGTGGTGACCCTGGGCAACACACTTGCCCTTCCTGAGCCTTATGAGCTTCCCTGCATAAATGAGAGTGAAGATTCCTGCCGTGCTGCCAGCAGGATGGTGGAGCAGGAAGGCTCTAAGCTGCAGAGCATTGCCTGTCTGGACAGAGAGGCAATGATCTATACAGTCACACTGCAACAGGATGTGAGGTTGTCCCCTATCTCACAGCTGTGGGTAGCATAACCTACACATTCCATCACAGGCCCGGCCCTGGCATTCCCTACTCTGATCCCAGCACCTCACTCCTGAACGTGTCCAGCTCCAGACACCTTAAATGGTTTGGTGATGCCACGCACAAGGGAGGGTCCAACCTCCAGGCTTTGCTCAAGTGGTTCCACCTGTTGGAAGTCCACCTCTTGCCCACCAGTGCCTCTTTTTCTGTCATCAATTCTTTTCCTTCAAGAGCCCAAGTTCCACCTCCTCCATAACACATTTCTTGTTTCTCTACTTGGGACATCTCCTACTGCCTCTGCCCTGTGTGCCTTTCACAGCCAGCCCAGATGCCTGGGTTTCACATCCTTCTCCATCTGCTCCAAGACAACAAACAAACAGCCTAAAGGTGACCCTATTTTGTCCTGAGGGTCTGGCATGGAGCTCCCAGCAGGAGGTAGATGTGGAGTGGATGGTTATGAGACTGGCCTGGGTGTGAAGAGTAATTGAGGGCATAGGTCATGGCCTCTGGGCTTCCCCTCTCTGATGGGCTGCTCTGAGCTCAGAAGCAGGGAGGACCTTAGAGACCAGTCAGGCCACTCGCTAGTTTACAGATAGGAAAACTATGATTCAGAGAGGGGAACAGCTTGCCCAGAGTCACACAGTCCATGGTGACAAGAGAACCAGAACTGAGGTTTGGGGCATTTTCTTCCTTTTTTTGGTACCAGGGATTGAACTCAGGGGCACTTGAACACTGAGCCACATACCCAGCCCTATTTTATTTAGAGACAGGGTCTCTCTGAGTAGCTTAGCGATCCTCCTGTCTGAGCCTCCCGAGCTGCTGGGATTACAGGCATGCACCACCCCTTCCTTCCTTCTTTGACTCCTTCTCTAGCTTTTCTTGTCTTCTTTCCTCTTGGAGTGTAAGCTGTTTTCAGGGTCACAACTTCCTTGCCTCCTTCCTTCCTTCATGTCTTCAGATACTGGCCAAGAACTAGCTTGGGGACCCAGGTGAGTCATGGGTGCAGTGGCTGTGATCACAGGTAACAGGGTAGTTGCAGCACCAGATCTCTCCACGAGGGGTCGCCCATAGCCTGTTTATATTTTCTGGTGGAACAATGTCAATTTTCATTGTTATGGAGTGTAAAGTGAGGTCTTTGGTTTCACAATGTAGGCAGCTCATGTCATGTGTTTCTGACAGCTCTACCAAGTTTCTGACAGTTGCATTTTTTCTCCTTCTGGCTTTTGAGATGTTGGGGCATCCGTGGGAAGCACATGGTATGGATGCCACAGGCTCTCAAGAGGACGCTGATGCCTAGATTAGCTCCCCTCCTACCTGTCCAGAGTCAGTTTGTACATGTCCAGAGAGGATTCATAGCCTTCTGAGAATCCTGATAGGAAGTGCTTCTTTTTTGTGGTGGTAGTGATGGGGGACTGGAGATTGAACTCTACCACTAAGCTACATCCCCAGCCATTACGTTGTTGTTGGTACTGGGGATCTAACTCAGGGACACTTAGCCACTGAGCCACATCCCCAGCCCTTTTAATTATTTTTATTTTGAGATAGTGTCTCAGTAAGTTGCTTAGGGCCTCACTATGTTGCTGAAGTTGGCTTTGCGATCCTCCTTCCTTAGCCTCATGAATCACTGGGATTACAGGTATGTGCCAGCATGCCCAGCAGGGAGTGCTTACTAATAATGAGTTCTCACCAAGGTTCTAAAGCTAACAGTAACTTTAAAATCCATGCTACCTAGACCCACACTCACTCCCAGCATGCAAATGGAATAGCCTCTGAGAGATGGGAGAAGGAAGGACACATTTTTCCTCTGCCCAGACAGTAGTGAACTATAGCAGAGAAGCCCAGTAAGACCTAACACGCTTGCTCTTATAATTAATGGGAAATATTTCTGTCCCAACATATCTACTTAGATACTCCTACCCTCTGCCATAGTGGTAGACTTTATATTGGAGGAATCATCTGATTATAGGGATGAGAGGTAAGGAGAGAAGAGGATTCTCATGGACCAGTGAGTCCTTACAAATTATTATAGCTGAAGAAATGAGCCAGTACCATCACTGGGGCATTGAAACTGCTGGTCCCAGACAGGATCTCCCCACATCCAGATGCTCTCTGCTTCAGACCCGTCAAAGCCCCAGACCTAGAATCTGTGACTCAGAAGTCTTGGAGGAGATGGCTTTCCCTTGGGCCGGAGGAAAGGCCAGGGTGCACATAGAGAGGCTGTTGGAGAGCACAGGGGTGAGAGGCAGCAGTGGGCAAGTGGCAGGCTTAGGACCTTCTGTGTGAGCACTCATGTCTCTGCCTAGCCTCCCAGATTAGTAGTCAGTCTCCCTGCCCCCATAACCTTGTGTTTCCAGAGGGAGCCCTATGTAGGATTCACCTCAATGTCCCTTCCAGAGTTTGGCTCCAGGCCTGGCACACAGTAGGTACCCATCAAATTGAAACAAGTAAGGCCTAGTCATAGTTCCCCCTGGCCCAGGCCTTATTGGCCTGCTCCCTGGGAAGGAGATAATCCTGTATTTGAAGTTCAGTGATGTGGAATTGTCCCAATGACCACTTCCATCTGTCCCTGCTGAGGCTGTTGGGACTGTCTTCCCTACCCTGTGACATGTGTGCTCGAATCTGAGATTTCTGCAACAGTCGTCCTTCACACCTTAGGAATCTGCCCTCCTCCCCCAGACAATACCCATGCCCTGGCTCAGGCCACCACCATTTCTCCATACAGCCCACTCCCTGGATCCTTTGCCTTTTCTTAGAAATTGGAAAACTTGTGGAATGGATGAGCAGATGTCAGGTGTGGTAAAAAGCTTTGCTGTTCAGACCTGAATTTCAATCTCAGTTCTATCACTCAGACTTTGGCACTTTTCCTTCCTTGTCTGAGCCTCAGTTTCCTCACCCATAAAATGGTGATGATAATGGCTACTCATGAGGTGGTTGTTAGGATGAAAAGAAGAAAATGTCTCCTAAGTGCCCAGCTGTTACTAGTGTCCTGATCATTATCCTTTCCTTTCCACTTGCCAGGCCCCAGGAAAATAGAAGCAGCCACTACTCCCCAAGGCTGCCTGACCATGCTTGGTAGACCCTGGGTTTCTGATCCCAAACTCACAGGTAGCACAGCCAGCTTCATCTGCTCCACCCTCGCAATCCTTCTCCCCGTCACAGCGCCAGGAGGCAGGCACACACTTGTGGCTGGTAGGTCCACAGCTCAGTTTCTCTGCAGGACACACTTGCCTGGCTGTGGAGACAGATATCCATGCATGGTTTAGCCAAGGGGGACACAGGGCATAGTGCCAACCAGTCCTACCACCCAGTTCCAGCCACCTGGCACAAGGCTGTGGGTGTCCCTCAGGATCCTCCTGTCCCACATCTCAAGTTTCTTCATCCGAAGTCCCTGTATGCCTTTAGGACTTTCCAAATCCAAATCTGACCCCACCATTCCCCTGCCTGACACTCTTCTCATGGTCCCTGGTCCCTGACACTCAAGTCCCTCCTTGATCCAGTGACTCCTGCCTGTCTTGCCTGATTACCCTTCTCACTCCCTCTAGATCTTTCTTTCCAGCTCTAGCAACATGCAGCAGCCTCCCTCTGCACTCCTCTACTCTGCACTCCTCCCCGACGTTTCCCAGCTGGGTGCCCTTGGGAGATATAGGCCCAACTAGAGCAGGGTTTGCCTTCCAGATCAGTGACGCCATAATCCGAAGCTGTATATGTGAGGGTTCACCAAAGCCCCTGTAGCTCCAGCCCACCCCTCTCTAAGCCCCCTCTTCTAGTAATGGTGCTAAGCCCACCGCTGAGAGCAGCTACCGCATGGCAGGGCCCAGCGGGACTACACAGCTATAATTACTGCAGCCGCAATCAGAGGCTGACTCAATCAGGGGCCTGAAGCCCCAGGGTTGATTCTCAATTTGGAAGAAAGAATGAGAACCCTATTCAAGGCTGGGGGCAGCTCTTATCCTGAGCTTCTCCTGATGCACTTGACAGCCAAGGCAGATGCCATTTCAGACTCCCATGGTTGGCTCCCTACTGCTTTCCAGGGTGTGTAGGAGGCCCAATCTCAATGGTCTCTAGGATGTGCCAGGCACAGTGCTAGAGGCTTCTATTTAATCTTTTTTTTAGGGGGGTTTCAGGGATTGAACTTAGGGGCACTCGGCCACTGAGCCACATCCCCAGCCTGATTTTGTACTTTATTTAGAAACACTGTCTCACTGAGTTGCTTAGCATTTAGCTTTTGCTGAGGCTGGCCTTGAACTTGTGATCCTCCTGCCTCAGATTCCCAAGCCGCTGGGATTGCAGGTGTGTACTACCACACCTGACTCTATTTAATCTTAATAATAACCAAGGAAGGTGAAGATTTATGTCCCAGCCTCCAACATGGAGACCGAGGACATGAGCCCTGGAGCCTGGGTTCAGATTCTAGATCAAACATTCACTGGCTATGTGAACTTGAGCAAAAATCCTTATCTCTGGGCCAATAAAGTGGGGATACTGCTGTGTCCTATCATGATGGGGCTGGATTTGTACTCAGTGGTAGAGCACTTGCCTGGCATGCATGAGGCACTGGGTTCAATCCTCAGTACCACATAAAAATAAATAAATATATTGTTTCCATCTACAACTAAAAAAAATCTTTAAAAAAGATTGTTATGATGACCAAATTAATGTCTGTAAAGTATTTCAAAGAACACTTAGCCTAGTGCTACTATTACAACCCATAGATAAGAGATGAGTATTCATGAGTCTCATTCATTTATCTATTGATTATTGCTGGGTACCAGACAAGGTGGTCTGCACTGAGTTCTAGTCATGCTGCTGGTAAAAAGTGCATGAGTCAGCTATGTCTGAGATTGGGAACAGTCTGTGGTACCCGTAGAAGCAGTGGCTGATCTCATGCTGATCTCTGCTCCCAGACTAATTTCCTCTCCTCTTGCTTCTATACCTGAGATGAGGAGCCACAAGGAATGGAGAAAGGACACAGAAAAGTTGGGGAGACAGGTGTGGGGCAGGTGTCTGAGTCAAGGTCCACCGACAGTATTATGCCATGGGAGAAGAGTAGTTTTGACCCCTCCAGTATGAACTTCAAAGTTATCCCTAGGAATATATTTTATGAATTATAAGGCAATCCATTGAGAATACAGGATTCATTGGATAGAAATTTCCCTTTATAGCTGCCAGATAGAGCTCTGGAAAGCACTGACACTCAATGACCTTTTAAAATGTCACCTTGGGGCAGTCATATCGGATAGTAAAGGGGGACTGGGAGTTTTAGAGATGGGGTCCTTCCAGGGCACCTCTTCCACTAACACACTGTGAGTGTTCAGGCAAGCACTTCTGGGCTCCACCAGGACGTGAAGGAGCTGATACCAGTGTCTCCTGGAGAGTCCTCTGACCAAGGGGAAGGCAGTGAGGGAGCTATTAGAAGTGCAGGTTCCCAGGACCCAGTTTGTTCTGACTGAATCTAGACTAGGGAAGAGCTCAGGATTCCAGGCCCCTCTGTATTAGAACCCTTGAATTAACATTGGGCATTTATAAAAGATACAGGATATTTTACCTCATTCAAATACAAGTGATACCATAAAAGGTGTTAATAGGTGTTTCAGACACTTGTAAGCGCCCCTGAAAGAGCAATGGGATGAGGGCAAGGCACCACTTGTTCCCAAGCCAGATCCAGGAAACAACCTCAAAGGGGGTTGGGAGGGCCACATTTACCAAGCACCCTTGGTGTATCAGGATGCTTGTGCCAAGTATTTTCCCATTTTATCTTTTTCACAGTGTGAAAGCTTAGCATCCCCCTACCCCAAATTCACATTGGAATTTAATCCCCAACGTGATAGTGTTAAGAAGTGGAGCCTTCATGAGGTGATTAAGCCATGAGGGTATGAATGGGATTAGTAGCCTTATGAAAGAGGCCTGAGGGAGTTCCCTTGCCCACTCTGCCATAAGGACTCAGTGAGCATGTACCATGTATGAGGAATGGGCCCTCACCAGACACTAAATTTGCCAACGCCTTGATCCTTAGACTCTTAGTCTCCAGAACTAAAAGCAATAGATTTCTGTTGCAAATTAGTCAGTTTAAGGGATTTGGGGCTTTAGCAGCCAGAACCATCACCCTTCCCTGACAGGTAAGCAAGCCCTGCAGGCTGTGAGTACAGAGATCATCATGTCACCAGTGTTCCTAGAGTGGAGTAGATAAGCACCCCATTGTACTGATGAGGAAACTGAGGCTCAAGGAGACAAAGTAACTGGCCCAAAGATGCACAACAGGTGAGAGACAGTCTGGGTTCCTCTGACTAGAGCCCTGCCCTTTCCAGAAAACCCTAGACACTCTAAAATCAGCCTCAAACTCTCTTCCCCAAAGCCTAAGTGACTGAAAGTGGCCCTTGACCATATGCACCACCTCTAGAGGCCTGGTTCTTTAGACCCCAGTGCAGCAGGCAGCCGACTGAATTTTGAATGAATATTTATACAGTTAATAGCATAACCTTTCAACAAGGACAATGATTAAACAATCCGTCTGCTTCCTTTCTTTATAATTAATAAGACATTTGCTGTGTCCCTAAATAGACAGTTCTAATTACAGGCTCTCAAGGATTCATCAGTGCCTGATAGCAGCATCTCACCCTGAAGAGTCAAGACTCTTGGAATGCCAGACAAGAGGGGCCTTGGAGGTCACATTGATGAGCACCCCTGGTCCCAATGTCTTGAGAAAGGAATGATTCCAGATATTCAAAATGCCCGTCTCTCCTGGAATCCCATCATCTCTCTTGTGACATTGTTCTTCCCAAAGTTAGGACTTGATCTGGCTCTCTAGGCCCCAGGTCAGGCCTCTCTGCTGCAGAGCCCTTGGTAGAGTGACATGCAGATCTCCTTTGGAGGAAGATCCTATTATTTCCTCCATTTTACAGCTGAAGAGAGCAAAGCCCAGAGAGGGTATGTTGTCTGCTCAGAGTCTTATAGTGAGGGGCAGAGCTTGACTTCCAAACCAGGTCCAAATACACTGCGTAATTTTTGTATTTAACTATTACACATGGAAAAAGTAGGCCCCACAGGTCTCTTCCACACATCTGAGCTGGAGAGGAGTCACTGGAGGAAGGAGGCTCACTGAGCCTTTGCTCAGGCAGGTTGTGCATGATGGCTATCAGATATCCACTGTTAGGATTCTTGAACCCAAAGGCCCCCTGACAGTGTGATATAAGAGAGAAAGAGCAGGGTTTGAGTCAGATAGACTTGGTCCAGGTTTCATTTACTAAGGTCCTAGGGCAGGTCAGTTAACTTCTCTGAATCCTGGGGTTGAATCATTTGGGGGGGGGCGGGGGGGGTTGGTGGATGTTTTAAATGAGGAAACATGGAAATCACTGTATTTGAGATCCTGGAACAAATCTAAAGCTGTAGAAACTGTTTCCCTTAAATGAACTGTACATGCAAAAGACTGGTAGGGCACCTGCTTCTACCCTGGGACATGCACATGGGTCCACATGGTTCACCATGGTACAGCCTCCACCTAACTGTAGCCTCTCCTTCATGCATGCCCCCAAAGGACACCTTTGGTCTGCTGTCCAAGTACCCCACGTTATAAGATGCAGAAGTTAAAACCTCTCCCATCTCTCAGACAAGAGGAACCCTCCAAAGTTGGCAAGGGGGCTTGAAACTACTCCCAGGAGTGGCTGAAGGCATTTATTAATTTCTGGAGAATCTTGCCTCAGAAATCCAAATCCATGGGTACTTTCTCCAATACATAAATTCACAAATTAACAAAAAAGGATATGTCTGTTGAATAAAAAAAAGGAAAGTACTTAGTAGCTACTCATTGATTAAGCAAGTCTACATATCAACTCACTTGAATTTTAGAAGCAGACAACCTCCAAATGGGGACTACCAGCTCCAAGGAGACTGGACACTCAGGTGATGGGAGCTACTAGCTCTCCCCAAGGAAACACAGCATGAGACCATTGCTTTGTGCCCAAGCTGGGAGTTACACCAGGCTCCTTCACGTGGGGTCTGGCAAAATGCTTCTACCTAGGTCAGTCCCTAACTTGCTGGGTGATGTCAGGAAATCCCTGGGCCTCCATTTCCTGATCTATAATAAGAAGGTGAGCTCGATTAATCAGCGAGATCCCCCTCCCAAGTTCCATATTCCATATTCAGTAAGGAGCACCCAGAGTGTAACTCATTCCTCTTGAATCAACCTCTCTTCCCCCTGCCCATACCCCTTCCCAACAGAGGCCTGAAGGTGGGTCAGAGTGGTTCCCAATCAAGTGAGCTATAATTAGAGTTGAAAAGCTACTTTCATTAGGCAAATGTTCTGGGCTTTTCTGTTATGACCCTGGCTATATTTTTTTAAGTACAGAATTCAGAACCAGAAAGAATGGAGCTGGGAGATATCTTGCCCAATCAGGGGCAAACAACATAGTAGGGGGAAATGTAAGAACTGGGAGCTGCTGCCACATCCCTTTTCCTCTCATCATAGCCCCCCTCACTTATACTGTTCTAATACTATAATATTCTAATATCTTACTATTATAAAATGTTGTGTTGTGGCAGAGGTCTTAGAAGCCAACATAATAATAAAAATAACACCATCATTTACTCTGGTACTGACACTTGCACTTTTTCATGAGATCCTCACAATCCCTATATGGCAGGTATCATTGTACCATTTGACAGATGAAAGAAACTGAAGCTCTGGAAAACTGGGCAATTGGTATGAGGTCTCACAGGCTAATGGACCAGACCCACCTATATCAGATACCAAATCACTATACTTTATTGTCTATAATTTTTCTGCTAGGGGTGAGGAGTGGGACTCTATCCTGGGAGCTGGCACAGTCCCAGAAACCTGGTAAGCTATGGAGATTGCTATGGCAACGACAATTAAATGGACAGCGGGTTGGCTGCCGGGATCTCATTCTGCTGGGAAGCTGTGAGCAAAACTACTATCAGGCCCTGCTGCCCCAAGTTCTGCCTGACCCTTGAGATCTCACTCTGGCAGACCTCTTCCAGGAAGCCCTCCCCAGCCATGGGCCTTGCCTGCCTCTGATCAATGTTAACGGGAAGCAGGGATCCTGGTCCTTGTGCCTCAAAATACTAAGAGTTCAGGAATCTTGATATCATGAAATTCTGGAATGTTAGAGGTCAGGGCCCAGACAGGAATGAGAAATAGGTAGAACTTCACAAGGAATTATTGGGATATTCCAAAGGAGAGTTGGGTCTCTCCGCTCCTGCATGCTGCCTTCTCTATTGCTCCCACAGGTGTCCTGTCCAACCTCAGAGAGCTTGAAGAGCCTGTCTTTCGTCCCAGAAGGGGGACCTGCCATGAATAAGCTGTGTATCTTTGTGGTAAGTCAGTCAACTTCTCTGGGCCTCTAGTTGCTCAACTGTCAAATAAAGGGGGACCTGGGAGGCTAGAGGGATGGAGCAGGAGGGCCCGGCACAGCCTATGGATGGGAAGGCAGCAAGTACTGGGATGGGAAGCAGGGGTGGGAGGGGGCAAGGCAGGGACAAGCAGGAGGCTGAGGAGGGGGTGAGCAGCCCAAGAGAGCAAGGTGAAAAGGCCCGAGGAGGTCCAGGAAATAAGGTGAATAGCAATAGAGATTGAGTTGTGGAGAGAAGGAGGGGCACAGCCCTGGGGCATTAAGATAGCCCCCAAATAATAACCACAATGAGGCCCCTGTTCCCCTCCTTTCTGCCCCCAGTGTCCAGGGTAACTGCTGAAGTGGGCGGATGGCAGAGCTAGCTAACTAGAAAGGCCCCCTGTGGCCACAGCCCTCCTTCCCAGATTCACTCCAGGTGCACATGACTCTGCCCTTGGAGGCCAGGCAGCCACAACCAAGTGGATCAACTATTACAGCCTCAGTTTCCTTCTAAGTGGGCCCCACCTCCCTCCCAAGGTTTCTAAGAGATGCAAATAGCAAGTGGGCGTGGCTGGCTTTGTTCCTTCTGAAGCTCAGGACAAAGCACTGGGCTTCCCTCCTGCCCTGGCGCCCCAGGACAGCATTGATTGGGGCTATCTGGAGGGGTAACAAAAGGATAGGGCCTGTGGTATGACTGAGGAGGGCAGGGGCAGTTGTACAAGGAAATGACCCCCTTGTCTGCAGCGGGGTCGCTCTTGCTCTCCTCTCTCTCCCTTTCTCTTTCTCTCACAGACTGGTAGCTCTGTTGCTAGGAGACAAGGAAACCCAGTTATCTCCAGCCACAGCCTTAGATGGGACTGTGGCCTCCATTGTCCCTGCCTCTGCCTCTAGGGCAACTATTACCCCTGAAGAAGGGTTCCCCGTCCCCAAAAGCCCCACCATTCCACCACGTGCTCACCCTGTCCCAATCTTTTGTCTCAGGCTTACACAGCTGACACTCTGCCTCTGGACCACTGGGTCCTTCCCCACCCCCTTCTCATCTCCTTTTTAATTTAACAAATGTCACGGAATGACCTGCCTGGTGTAAGTTTGCTTAGAGGATTAGGGCCTGGAAAAGAAATCACAGAAAGACAAAGCCCTGAGTGTGGGAGGCGGGCCTAGGGCTTTGGTCCTCCATAGCACCCCTGGCTGCATCTGTCACCAGCCAGCTGGCTAGGGACAACTGGGCTCCAGGGCTCAGCCCACCCAAGGCAGAGGAAAAGGCTAGGACCTCAAAGTCCTGGCTGGGTAACAACAAGCAAGTCACTCAACCTCTCTGAACTTCAGTGTCCTCCTTTACAAAATTCTGAAAGTGACAGCACTTGCCTCCTGAGGCTGCTATGGGGATAAAAGGAGTTAATACACACAAAGAGTTTAGCACAGTGTCTGGCACACTGTAAATGCCTAACAAGTGCCAGCGGCCATTCGCACTACTGGAATTGCAATTTGGGTCCTCAAGGACACCAACAGGGGCGGCCTACAGGAGGTACTATGGCTACTTCTGGGCAAAAGGACTCAATGGGCTGATTCCAGTGCCTGGTGCTATAGAAACAGGGTCTGATGTGCAACTGGTATGAAGAAAGCCCAGAAACAGGTAACTAGCAACTAGAAACGCTTGACTGCTAGGCCCCCGACCCCGGGGTATGGCGGTGTTCAGCTGCTCACCTCAGTTGAGCCTCACAACCTGCCGCCACAAAAGAGCTGATGAGGAAACAGCTCCAGGGCAGCCCCCACCCCACCAGTCCAAGGGACAGGACTCACGGCAAGTGGCCTCGGACTCGTCAGAGCCATCAGGACACTCCTCCTCTCCATCACACTTCCACCGCTCAGGGATGCAGTGGCCGTTGTCACAGGTGAAGTCACTGTCTGCACAGGTCTTCTTAGCTGTGGGGCAAGGAGAAGAGCATGAGGGTCAGGTGCGCACAGAAGGCTTTTCTACGACGGTCTGGTCTTAGAACAGTCTGGTCTTTTCTAAGACAGCAATATACTCTGTCTAAAAGCTGGCCCACGTGACCTCCCACAGTACCACCAGACCACGGAGCAACTCACTCAAGAGGAGACAAGAGGGAGAAAGGCTGACTCACCCTGCACCCATTTACTGAGGGTCATGTGAAGACAGGTCCAGGAGCTCAAGTCTAGCAAGGGTGCCTGGGGCCATCACATCCTTGCCACACCCCTCTCTTCCCTCAAAGTCTACTCCAAGGAGCCCTCTCTGATTCCCATCCTGCAGCTGCCCCTTTAGCCCGTTCTCAGCCACTTTACCTGCCTCCCCACCCCAACCAGCCTGGAAGTCAAGGCCCCTTCAAGCACAAATAGGGAGCTCATGAATCCTAAAAGTAGACGTTTCCTTTGTGGCAAGATTAATGAGGTATTTTGTGCTCATAGTGGTGACCAAGCACCTACTGGGCAAGACACTCAAATCAGTCCCTATCCCCGAGGCCCTTGCAGAGGTCCTACAGAGGAGACCTCTGTCCTGCACTGGGTTTTGGAACCCAGCTGGGCCTCCTTCCATGTGCGTGACCTTGGGGTAGTTACTTAGCTTTAAGCCTGTATGTAATCTTCTTATATATGTAATGGGAGCCGGAAACAAAGGCTGTGAGCAGTGAGAAGTTACAGCCCAAGTGGAACATGCGCAAAGAACCCACCCCCAGCAGATGCTCGTGAGCAGCAGCTACTGCTGTTTTCATGGTTGGAGTCTTAATTAAAAGTGTAAGCAATGGGTGTTCCGTGTCCACCCAGGGGATATAGCAAGCTCAGCTCTCACAGCTGGTGAGGCAAGAATGTGGGTACCAACCCCAGCACAAGACTCTCTGATGCCCTATGTGCCCTGTCCTGAGAGGCACTACAGTTTGGTGTCAGGGAGTGGAAATGAGAGTGAGGGCTGTGTCCTACGGTACCCTCATTATTATTGCTGAGCTGGGGTCCCAGCTTCTTCCTGAATGCTGACTGTATCTGACAGGCCAGGGCAGGTTGAGGGCAATTGACCCCTCAGGCCTCCTGTGGGTGAGCTGGGGCTGCCTATCCCCCACAACCAGCAGGTGTGCAGGGGTAAGGCCTTGAGGACCCCAGCCTGGACCTCTCAATTCTTGGGGCTCCTCTGCATCAAACGTGTATTCAATTTATACCCTGCCCAAGCTTGGCCTGAGGGTCCAGAACTTGCTACAGAGCAGCAAAGTGGGAGAGAAGGAGCACAGAACAGGGAGTGAGGAGGCCTGGACTCCAGTCTTTGCTATGCTGTTCTGCTGTGTGCCCTCATGCAAATCTCTGTCCCTTTCTGGCCCTCAGTTTCTTCATTGGGAAAGGGGCAGGGGATTTGTTGAGATATAACCTTTCAGTGGAGAAGGTAGTTCCAGATAACGAGGCCCAGAAATGGCAGGGATGGTCTCTTTTCAGCACAAAGAGGATATCTCAGCACAGCAGGGCTCATCTCAGGCCTTGGGGAGCCCAGTCCTCCCTTGACTGACCTTGGGGCTGATATGCAGGGGCCAACTGGATCATGCACCTCCCCAGGGGCTGAGGTCCCTTGACCCCCTGCTGTCCTCCTTCCCTCCCCATTCTTCCCAGTCCAGTCCCCCCTGGATTCTAGAGGGCTCCTGCATACTCCATACTATTTATAACATCACACCTTGCTCAAGTTGTCCTTTGTCTGAAAACTGTTTCTCCAAACTGCTTTCTTCCACTCTGTACTTAGATATCACCTCCTCCAAAAAGACATCCCTGAACACTTCTAATCTTTGAGGACCTCCCCTGAGCTCCCACAGTCCTCTAAATGTCACTCTAGAGTACAAGTTGGCAAACTTTCTCTGTAAAGGGCCAAAGAGTAGATCTTTAAGCTGCAAGGGCCACATGGTCTCTGTCACACCACTAAATTCTGCCATTGTGGGGCAGAAGTCACCATAGACAATAGTTAAGAGAACAGCTGTGTGTAAATAAAAGTTTATTTATAAAAAAAGGCAGCAGGCTGTGGCCTATGGAATAATGACTTATGCTCTAGATCATCAGTGACTCCATAGCCCTTCATGATTAGCTGTCCTCTCTGTCCTCCAACATGGTGATGTCAGGCTCCGCACAGGACCCAACATAGTAGATTTCAGGGGGAAAGTGAACTAAATGTCTGGCTTCTGCTCCCACATATCAAGGGCCAGGACTCCACTTCTCCCCAGGAAGTTCCTTCCCATTGGCCAGCTTTATTGAACTCCTTCCATGGTCTGCTTGCTGCCCTGCAGGGATCTGGGGAGAGAGACTGGGTAGCTTGAATCCACTCCATTTCTTTTTTTCATGAAATCCTTGCAGTACATCTGCATTCTGAGCTTTCTTCACACTTTCCTTAGCCAGATGCCTCTACATGCAGGCTAGAAGAAACCCAAGGAATCGGAGTCCACCTACAGATGGGGAAGAACCTAAGTCGCAGAGAGGAAAGAAGCCGGCCCAGGAAAACCCAGCAAGGCAGGGACAAGAGCCAGCTCCCCTGTCTCTCAGCCCTCGGCCCCCAAGCAGCCCTCTCTGAGCTCTGCACAAGAGGTCATTGTCAATACCACTTCTTGATAAATCATAGTCTGCAATCATTGTAAAGTGAACACCTGTATAAGCTGTGGCACTGGGAAATTCTCCCCCATAGGAGTTCAGCATCCAAACAAAGAAGCAAATATTCTGAGTTTTTCTTTTTTTAACATTCCCCAGATGCTTCCTGGGTGGCAGTGTTGATGCTACGGGTTTTGCTCATGAAGCCCAAGGATAAAGACTCGTTATGTCCTCACTCAACATATGAAAAAATTTGGGCCCAGAGATGTTAAGTTACATGACCGAGGTCACATCTGAGTGGGAGCAGGGCCACAATTTGAATTTGCAGTCATATGTCTGTACTTTCCCACCATGTTCCCCAAACACACACTCGGCTGTAGAGGTGGAAGAAAAGCCCAAGGGTAGATGGGGAGGCCCTATGGAGGCTTCAGTCAGCGTCACTGAGCCTCTGCCCTGGGAACACAGAGGAAACAAGTTAGTGGCTGGGAGCATAGAGCAAGAGGGTAAGTTTGGCAAGGATGGATGACCAGGCAGCACCCAGGAGACTGTGTTGTCAGGGCTATGTCCCTTGGTGCAGGATGCCCTTCTAGGGCGCTTTTCTGGCATTCTGGAAACTGAGGGGTGAGCTTGGCCTGCCTGCATGTCCTAGACCCAGCAGGCACTGTGCAAGGAAGCGGAGCAGCCAAACACCATCACAGTCCAGAGGGCAGTTGGGACGTCATCCAGGCCCAGAAACGGGGCTGCAGGGCTCGAAGTTCCATAGTGGTGTTTTGCAGAATTTATCTGTTCATTGTCTAGACCAGTTTGGTCATTTTCCATCCTGGCTCCTTTCATCCAAAATCCAGTGACTCTCTGGTAGCTCCTGTTACTCTCATTTACAGAAGAGGCACTTGAGGCTCAGGGAGGTAAGGATGGCAGCTGGCAGAGTGGAATTTCAGTTCTGTGTGACTGCTACCAAAGCTTGAGCTCCTCCCTCTAAGGCCCTCCACTATCCCAGTGTTCCCCAGCTAAGAAAGAGAACCCCAGAGAGGAAACAGTGAAAGGCCTTTCAGATCCCAGGGACCATCAGACAAGGCAGTGAGGCAGGTCAGGCACTTAGCACAGAGGCATCTGCATGAAGCAGTTGCTTGCAATGTGGCCAGGAGTGTGCAGAAGAATTAACCTAGCCTCTGATGACCTGTTCTCTGTTAATGCACTGCCCTGAGGAGACTGAGGCAATAGGGTCACTTTCAGGTTTGGGACTCAACTGAACTACCTTGGGAGGTCCCCACTGGAAGTGTACCACAGAGGGACTTAGCATCAGAGCTAAGATTAAATCCTGGCATGGCTGCAGCCTCACTGGGTGACACTGGGTGACAAGTAAGTCCCTTCCCTCTCTGAAACAGTGGCACAATGGCTTCCCATGCAGCACTGCCACAAGGCAAAAGTTTTCTCTTGGGGATCTCAGTAAACATCCCAGCATTGGATCATTCAGTGTAACAGGTCCCAGAGTCCTCATCAAGGGAAGGGGCTGAGCTATTGTCCTGGGGCTGTCAGAGTAAGCCATGCCAGACCCCACTCTCCTGGCCTTGGCTCTGGTTCCCAAGACGATTCCCCAGCTGGGCTGGAGGCCGTGGCTCTGTTTCCAGGGATTTATGTCCCTCTATGCCAGTCTGCCCCTTGGACAATGCCCACCTCTGTGAGTCCCTATACTCCACAGCCCAGGAGTGATACATAGTCATCCAGGGTCTGCGACATCATAATCTGGTGCCATGGCAACAGATGGGCTGCCACAAAAGACTTGAGATTCCAGAGGGCAGTAAGGAGGGGTTGACCCCAGGGCACAGCAGAGTGGGAAATCCAGGACAAAAGAAATTGGGAGCTGCAATTTATAAGGAACACAGGCCAAGGAAAGCATCAGATGGTCCAGGGCCAATTGGACTCTGCTTTGCCATTTCTGGGCGGTGTGATGTTATTCAAGTTATACAACTTCTCTGAGCCTCATTTGCTTCATCTGCATTCAGAGATACTGTCCTTGCTTTACAAAATGCAGAGGGTTTGGGGATAAGGATGGCACTAGGGCTTTAAAAAGCAGAAGAAGTGAGGATTGTGAAGTCAGCGCCCTGGCCCCAGCAGCTGCATGCAATGCGGGGTCCATCAGTTGGCCTGTCTGGGCCTGCCTCCTCATCGGGAAATGGAGGCATGGTGCTGATTCTTCAGCCTGTCTCAGCACCCAGGGGCTGTGATCTTGTGAAATTATTATGATCACTCAGCACCTCAAAGCTTCCTCCTTCCCTGAGACAGTATACACCCTCACACTGCTCCCACCCTCACTCCCCACAGCCCAGTACAGACAGGGCTTCAAAACAAAGACTCGTCAGGGCTGCCCAGAGCTGCTCCATGTTCTTTCCCCTCTGCAATCCTGCCTTCCACATGTCAGAGCCCCTTCCATTTTAAAAGCCCAAAGAGAGGTAGGTGCCTTTTCAAGGCCACAGCTCATGCCTGAGGGGGGTGCACTTGAACCCAGGTATTAACTTCCAATCCCGCTGTGTAGGCCAGGAAGCTGGGGAATGGCCAACTGAGGAGGGCACTGCATTCAAGGAAGAGTCAGCTAAGCTGTGGGAGTGGGGCAAGGGATGAAGGGTGTTTCAGAAAGAGGGATAACAGCGCCTGGGGGTGCAGGAGCCAGCCCTCCTGTGCGGGAGGCTAGTGGCAAGGGGCCTGGGAGCTCCACCAGGCCAGGGCCAACTTGGCCCATGGGGCAGAGGCCCAGCACAGGGCCTGGCTTTCCTTGAGCTCCCAGGACCTCCCCAGCCTCTTGCAAGCCCATGGCTGCTGTTTAGCAGCCAGCGAAACCCAAGGCTGAGCTGCCAGAGCTTGCTTTGGAATTCAGTGAGAATGGCAACATGGACACTCGGCCCCTAGAGAGGAAGGACAGAAGGCAGGGACAGGCCAGGGAGCTATCCACCCAGACATTTTGAATGACATCATTTTTCCCCTTGGAGATTCACGATGCCCACGGCTTACCAAAGGCCCTGAGATGGCCCATAGCAGACATCTGGTTCACTGTTTGCCCCAGCTCTTCCAAACTTGTTTAAGAAACTCCTTTTTTGGAGGCCATGCCTATTATTTCCCAAGTTTAGCAGCCAGCGAAACCCAAGGCTGAGCTGCCAGATGGCCCAATGAGCCATACCTGGGAAAACACTGGGTGGTACAAGCCCCTCATCCTACAGATAAGAAGACAGGCTTAGAAGGACTGGCTACAGTCACCCGGCAGTCTGGCACCCAGCTGTCATGACTCTGGGCCAGCACCTGACCAGGAACAACAGAAGTTGTTCACAGAGCATCTCAGCCCAGAATGGAACTGAGGGGACCTCCCTGGGGAGACCCAGTCCTCTGAGCAGGGCCTTTTTGAGAGGAGGGATCAGGACAGAGAGAGGGGATAGAGACCAAGCCACCTGGATCAGGGAGATGAGAGAGAGATCAGGGATGCATGCAGTCTGCTCTCTGGTTTCCTGGGCTACAGAAAGACACAGAGCAGAGACCTATAAGAAAAGGTGGGCTTCAGCGCAACACTGTTGCTGAGCCGCATGGACTGGGGTTCTTCCTCTCCTGGGGCAGGTGAGAGACTGAGACCTAAAGCCTCCACCTTGGACCCTGGTACAAACAGGGGACTCAGCTGTTCCCATTTCCTCTCCCAGGCTAGGGCCAGCACTAGGTGGCTTGGCTCCCTCTACAGTCAGCCCTAAGGCAGCTGGGCCACTTGTACTGGGTGGGGTCGGGGAGATGAAAGGGCTGCTCCTCACAGCTACCCTTCTGCAGAGCTCGCCAGGCCCTGGCGTTGCCAAGACGACCACTGCAGCAGAAGGGAGATCTGGGGTGGGGGCAGGGGGCGTGCCAGTCCGCCCTTGGCCTACTAACCTGGCAGGCAGATTTAAATGACAGCCCAGGAAGCTACTATTAAACTGTCACCACAGTCAACGGGACGACAGACTCCGGAGTGTTCTCTGGCTGCAGCAGCAACACAGCAGGAGTGAGACGGGGAGGAGACTGTGGCCTGAGCAACCTGCACCTCCTCCCAGGAGACCTCAGCTGCCTGTGTCCACCCACTGCCAGAGTCACCCTCTTAGGCCAGGATAGGTCTTGGCACGGAGCTGGGGCACAGTGCAAGGCCTGGCAAACTTTGTGTTTCATTTTTAAGCAGAGGAACCCTTTTCCCAAGTGAAATTCTAATGTATAAAATAGATAAAAATAGAGTTGCATTGTTGGAAGCAGAGCCAGAGATAGGGGACCTCATCAGCTGTTGCCCCATAACTCAATGCCCTGCTGGGGCCTCTGTCAAGCCCTGGGGCTCAGAGCCCATCATCGGCTGCTTTGGGATTCATCGGTTTAAATCCTAACCCCTCCCCAGGCATGTGATGTCTCCAAAGAGCCCATGGGTCTATTATAACATTTAAGATGCTCTCATGGGTTTTGGATTCTAATTTTCTAAGGGCCCACATTTCTAAGATCACCACAACAATTTGCACATCCCAAGCTCCTGTGACAAGATTCCATGACAAACACTCCCAGAGTCAGACATGTCAATAGGCTGTAGATGGCTGAGATTCTATCCCTGTCAGGGACTGTTCTGAGTTCAAGCTCCACACGCTGTCAATCTCTGGCTCAGGGCTCTAGGCGGTGCTGGGAGGCAACTGTTCCTAGTGTCCTGACACCCATGAGTGTGGTGGGGGGGCTCATCCTTCTGCTGTATTGGCTCAGGCGAGTGCCCTTTCTCTGCCATCCTCCCATCCCACCTGAGAATGAGGAGGA